ATTCTGGCCGTCGGCAACAAGTCCTTGAAGTCCAGGGTTTTCTGGATGAACTTTACCGCGCGCCGGATCTGGAACTCGCCGTACTCGCGGCTGTCCCAGACCTTGCCTTGGCGGTGCTCGGGGTTGCTTACCAGGACGCTGGCAGGCGTTGCCAGACCGTAGGCATGTGGGTCCTCGACGAATGCAATCCAGTAGTTTGAGTTGATGCACAGGCCCTCGCGCCAGCTCAGATACGCATAATCGAACCACCACCGCTCGAGCCAGCTGTTTGGCTGTGTCTCTCGTAGGCTATCAGGCGCTGTTGCAGCCGGTCCGCCACCTTCAGAAACTCGGTTGCCCGCTTGTGCGAGTCCGCAAGCGCCGCCTGGTCACTTCCGACTATTGGGGCGATGGCCGCAAGGTGCTGGTCGATTGTCTGCTTAAGCGGCGGGATTGGCAGACGCGGGAGCTTGCTCTGCATCGAGAGCATGTGCGGTCTTGGTTCTGCGCTCATTGATGGTGTCTTAGGAATGGCGTGTAAGTGCGTGTGATGGGCTGGGATACGACGATAGTCGGAGAGACGCAGAATAATGTTTATGAAACAGACCGAGGGAGTAGAGAGAAAAGCGTGGGGGAGCAAGTCTCTTCGAGTGCACGGCTACTGCACTCGTTATATACCTCTGCGCCCCCTCTCAATGCATCTAGCAAACAATTCGCTGCACATGATCGCAAGCTGCGAATAGACCCCTCGAGCCCTGGTGGGTGGGTGGTGGCAGGAGCCACTTTGCAGGTGAAAATCTCTTCAAATGCGCCGGCGAATTGCTGTCCTCCGCTGGTGCGTCTGGTGCACCGAGAGATAAAGCTCCGACCGCCGCGTTCGCGTGAATAAGGCAAGTGTTCAAACACCTGTAGGCATGTGAAAGCAGATACCGGCCTTTGCAGCGGCGCTCACATGCCCATGCTCGCTGCTGCAACGATTGCCTGCTTGTCTTTTCCACGAGTGCCACTCCAGTTCTCCACCAACCCAGGCCAATGCGCCTGCACCTGACCGTGCACTAATACAAGTTTGCTTGGGATTCTATTAATACCCAAATGTCGAATTGCTACATATTGTGAAGATGCAGTGGGTGGGATGATCAAGCCGGATCGGCCGGCATTTTAGCGAGTGGACCCCATATCCAGGCACTCTCCCCTCGCGGTTCAAATTCCGGAGCTGAAATTCTTGGAGGGGTTAGGTCGCGTATTACCAACACCTACCTGCCCCATCCCAATTGCGATACCACAGATGTCAGACCACGAAGCAGGTGAGAAGCGGAAGCGGGTTGTGGAAAATGTCAGCAGTGCCGGACCAACGATGCAAAGTACAAATGCCCGGGTGCATGGCACGCACATGCTCGGCCGCCTGCTCAAAGGAGCACAAGCAGGAGACTGGATGCAGCGGCCAGCGCGACCGCACAAAGTTTGTTAAGCGAGCCGAATACGACGCCAACACCCTGATGAGCGACTATGGCTTTTTGCAGGAGCTTTCGCGCGACCACGATAACCTGACCCGCCTCGTCAAGGAGCAAGGTGTGCCTACAGGCAATGCAAGCAAGGGCAGAAAGCCAATGCAGCAAGCAGGCCTGGCGCTACTACCCTCACTCTGACGCAAAAGAATACCGTGACGCGTGCCCGGGTGAACCGCAATGTGAGTATTCGGTATATGAGCCCGGAATCCAGAGACATGCGCAGAACAAGACGCTGTGGTCAAAGTCACACTCGCGGCTAGTGTGGACCATTGAGGTTTCGGTGCCTGAGCTGGAGGGCGTGGCAGACAAATGGATCGAGACCGGCTTCCACGATGTATGCCAGCTTGGGGATCTGTGGGAGCGCCTGCTGCTGTTCAACTCTAGCGATAGTAAGAAGCCGGTTGACACTGTAACCTCGAGCGCTGCCGATACACGTCTCCCCACGCAAGCGTGCTAAGCAGGACTTTATCAAGATCAGTCTGCCCTCCGACGACGGCAGTGAGCATATATTCAATCGAACATCCTCGGCCAACACTGGATGCCATCAAGGCCAAGTTTGCCACTAGCGCAGTCACCGAGCTTACCTGGCTGATCAAGGCACAAGACACACCAGCAAACAAGCCGACATTTTATCGCATTGACCCCTGCCAGCCGCTTCATACCCAGCTTGTATACCAGACAGTTGTTGAGTTCCCGACGTTCTTTGTCTATTCAGCACCGCCAACTCGACTTGGAAACCACGGATTACGATTCTCGACATCCCCGTTGCGGTCCAGGCTAGTGACTCTGAGAGCAGCGCGTCGAGCTCATCCGAGTCGTCGTCACCATCAGATTCGGAGGATAGTGACGACGAAAACAAGACCAAGGAGAAATAGGCGTTACCAGCACTGTTTAGATATTCTGTTTCTTGGCATTGAAAAACGTATACACCCGATGTTCAATAGTGCCCTCAAATTAATTGACAGGAGCCACTTCTTATATTACCCTCCTCAGTCTCTACAATGAGCATTGTGGCCACATTCACTTATCCCCCAATGATCGCATACATGGGCACCCGTTTGCTGTGCACTGGCTAATTAGCTGTATGCTCAGCAGCCAACATTCACTCGTTCGTGGGCTCAGCCTAGCTAATATAGTCTAAGCTTCTGTATGTATAAAGGGACTATAAAAGGTCGTTAGCTGGACCACCCTGCTACCCGATATCTCACATTTATAGCTAACACCAAAACCATGAATCTACTGACACTCGCACATTATACACTTTTCTCCATCGCTACTGCCGCCCCTGTGATTGAGAGGCCAGGCTATCGAATGCATCTCCCAGCTACTGTGCCTGTTACCCTTGAGGCTGTTCCTAAGACTGCAAGCGAATGGCACGTAGATGCCATAGAGATGTTGATCCCGCATGAATGGCTACTGTGAGCAGCCCATGTATCCGCTCAGCTAATACACTGTAGCATTATTTTCTGTTGTTTGCCTTTTAGGTAATGCCAATAATATGGATTGCTCCTTTTCGTTCTGGTAATATGAAAAGCGCATGATCATGCGGCATTTTATGACAACCAGCCTGCTAATCTTCAATACCTACGTCTTCATTCGTCAAAAAAGAAAAAAGTACAGCCTGGAAGGCGATAATACCAGCGTGCGTGTATTCAACTGCGTCTTTTAAAGTGCCTTCACAAATACCGCATTGCTGTACCCAGACAGGCTGTTAAAAATACCGAAGCGTGCGCCGCATTATGAGATACGCTCCCTGTCCAATCCGCAGCAGAAGGCTGATGTGTCTGGGATGGGGAGGTTGTGGCCGCAGATGGGTAGTCATCTACCGCGCATGTGGAGAACCCTGTGACAGGTTTGATCAGAAAAGCCTTGGTAAAGGAGAAAATTATGTCTGGGCATGAAGTGCAGGTTAATAATAGGTGCATTGCAACCTTCGCGCAGCCTAATGTATTATATAAATGCGCAACAGCCGCCCTTCCAAAAAAAAATCATACCCCCTATCCTCTCTACACAATATTTTACTACTCTTTATCAGCACACATTTTTCACGCAATTCTAATGGACCAAACATACCCAGAACACATACACAGGGTCATGGAAAGCAGCCAAATTGCTGATTATTCTTCCAGGGCAGCTGGGATATTTGGTTTTGGTGTTGGTGTGCGGAATGACGAGCAGCCCCAAACACAACAGCCAACTGAGCCCGTTGGTCGACAGGGCAATTCAGGTAACGCATACTATCAGATAGGCTCCCATTACCCACACCAAATCTCACGCCATGAAAGCAGTGGCAAGGGAAACCACAGAAACGACCATTCTGAAGTAGATGAGTTTGGCATGCTTCATCTGGTGCATGAATATCTAGCAACCCAGCGTGGAACTCGAGGCACACACAGAGAAAAGATGATTCTAACAAAGCACATTACGCGGCTGAGCAACGACCCACGTATGCTTGAGATCGCAGGCTTGGCATTCTTTGCTACCCTGGATAATGCGGTGTTTCCAGGAAACACAAATTTGATACAGAATTCGACATGTATACGGAAGCAACGAACGGCGAGGGATACAATATTCGAGGCCGCCTGGATGATATTTACAACAAGTACAAGGCTGACGTATTTGCCTTCGAGCACCTCGCCCAGAGACCAGCGTACTGGACACACGTACTTTTGGAGATCACTGGCTGCCGAATAGTGGAAGGAATCGTCCGTACGAGACATATCACTGGTACATCAATAGCCTAGACTGTCTTATTCCGGATGCAATGAGTGAGACGTTCCAGCTGCACGGAGTCAAGTGCAAGCTTCGTTTGCTTAAGAAATTCAGTCTCTCAAACGGCGAAACGTGGACTGGACTATGGCTTCACAATGTCGGCCGCGGCAGGGATGTGATAAATGGACCGTTTGTGCTTGCTATCTCGAATGTTGCCTACCCCACCGAGTATCATGCCCAGGTTGTCTTGCCGAAGGGTGGAGTACGTCCATCGCAGGGAGTCGGAATGAAACTCTTCGTTGAGTACAAGGAACTATTACATTCGACACACAAGAACAGCCGCCCAATATGCGACTCCGATGGGCGTGTTCGCGTCAGTGTGATATCCATCTGACCAGACATTTCGGGGACTTCACACATATGCTCAGTAGTTGGCTGCTCTACTGTACATTCAATGCGTGGCCACGAGCTGTTTCTCTTGTTATTGCATTCATCATTAGGCAACCATCCTGTACATGCCTTTCAATGTGTTATTAAAAATAAATTACTATCACACATGCATCTCATGGGGCCAACCCCACATACCACAGGTTTTGTCAGGTGGTATTTAATGGCGACATGTGTCATCGCTTTGGATCGTTCATATTACTAGATTATTGATATTGAGGGTGTATGCATGGCCAAGATGCATAGCTACTAAACTTAATGGGACAACCTGGGTCACAGACAACAGCACGCTGTAGCGGTATTCCGGCAGAGACCAGTGACTGGATGTCGTTGCCAGTCGGCAGCATCGACGGACCAGTATCAGAGGATCCGCCGCCTGTGCCTGTGATGTTGAGATACCTGAGTGCCGGAGCATTCGCCGCGCAGCGACCCAATGTCAAACACCGGCGCCTTAATGCGGACCAGCTTGGCGAACCGTCCACGCAGTTGCGGCACCTGCGATGCATCCATTGCGGTGGGTGCTGGGTGGTGGTTGTCGCACGGCTCCATTCTACCAATCGCCAGTTCCTCGAGTGCCGGCATGTTGCGTGCCGATATGCACAGCCGTGTGTTCTCACGCGGCGCCATTGTGTACTGGTGGATGTGGAGCGACCGCAGGGCTGTCCAGCACATGCTGCTGTGAACTGTCATTGAATTGCCGCTGCTGGTGGTGCTGGTGGTGCTGGCGGCGTTGGTGTTGCGCCGCAGAACCATGATGGACGAGCCGTACTCGACCGATACCTGGTGTCGTTCGTCAACGCGGCCAACCCGCAGCATGCTCATGATCTTGTAGTCGCTCTCGAGGAGATGCAGCGTGGTCAGGGTTGCAGCGTGGTTGACAGCAAACGACAGAACCGGGGGTGCGCGCAGTGCCTCGCCTGTTACTGCCAGCGTGTCCAACGACGAGCACGGCTCGAGACGGTCGCCATCGGCATCGCTGGGCGTGCTGGTCACAGCTGCCTCTGCGTCGTCAGCATCGCCAAATGCAGGCGGCACCACGGTCGACGTCGACGACCTCCACGACGACGCCGAGCTGCGACGCAGCGTGCTGACCGATCCACCGCTGTTTGCCCACACGCTGGCCGAGATCTCCAGCGACCTGAGGTGCAGGCTGGATCCGAGGATATCGGCCAGCGCCGTGGCCGGCACATACCCGCCGATCCGCATGGTGGCCAGCTCCGGCATCGTGCGCTGGATGTGTGCAGCCAGGCCGTGGTACGAGATCAGCGGCATGAACGACATGTCGAGGTGCTCGACGCGTGGCCACACCTGGGTGCCAAAGATCGCGTCGAGCCGGTCAATGTGGGTGCGGTCTGGCTGGCGCGCCGAGTCGAGGCTGACGCCGACGAACTCGAGCTGCTTGCCGGAATGGGCAGCCTGAGTCAGCCATGAGACCGGCGCCGCCATCGCGCCCCATGGCACTGCCAGCCGACGCGCACACCCGCCGGCAAAAGCGTGGATGGTCTGGGCGTCGGGGCTGGCGGACCCGGTGAGCTCGACCGAGCGCCAGGCCCGGTGCAGCAGCACCTGGCGCCAGTTGCGGCTGACCTGTGCCAGCATCCGCAGAATCCGCTGTGCGTCGGCAGTGAGCGCCAGCGCGCGGTGTGTCTGATTGGCGGCTGAGCAGAGGCGCTGCACCGACGCATGCGGCGACAATGGCGATGGTGATGTAGCCGTGGCATGTGCTGCACCCACATCGATTGCTATCAAGGCATCTGCGATGGCATCGATAACGTCGGATGGCAGGCTGATAGCCGCGGCGGCGCCTGTGGGCTGTGTGTCCTGGGCCGCCGGGCACCGCACGGCATCGCGTGCGGCGGGTGTTCCTACGTATGCCTGCGGCAGAGATAGAGTTTGGGCGAGGGCCATTGTCTGGGAAAGCGGGCTGGCAGTGCAGGACAAGAAGGAGGTGGTTTGCTTGGAGAGAGGAGGGGTGGGGGAAGCGGGGCTCGGGATTACTACGAGTTCATTCGAAGCGCACTGTCGATGAAATGTGTCTGGGAGGCGATCGAGTAGTTGTGTGGACCGAGCGAGGGCTTGCTGGTGGTGTTGCTGGTGGTGTTGCTAGTGTTTCTGCTGGTGTTGCTAGTGTTTCTGCTGCTGCTGCTGCTGCTGTCACTATATGGCTGCTGTGCCCAGTGTGCCAGAGTGGAAACAAGATACGGCTTCCCGCACAGACGAGGTAGGCGAACCCAAAGTCGGACGATTGACCCAGGCTACGGCGGAGCGGCGCGGGAGATTGTCAAAGCGGCGGAGCCCAGTGTGTGGTTGCTGGAAAAAACTTCGGGAGGGCAGGTGTCAAGGCGCACGAAGCTGAGACAGAATGGCAATGGCAGAGGTGAGAGACTGGAAGGTGGTGGATGAGGCGGCGAGTCTGGGCAGTGGTTAATCGGGCATTGGACACAGGCAAAAAAACACGGCGCTGATGCAGCGGTATTTATACGCAGCGGCAGCCAGCGGCGGCAGTGGCAGCGGCAGCAGCGGTGTAGACGTGGAGAGGTGGAGGAGGCGGCTGTTTGGCGCTAAGCAAGTGGAAGATTCAGGAACACCACCATTCTGCACTAGCCCCTTTTGCCGTTGCTGACTGGTGCCTCTCCCTAGGTACCCGAGTGCAGAACAACGCTGCTTCCGAATACATGGCGCGGCAGCTGTCAGCTGGTCTTGGCCGGCACCGCACACGCCTGACATTTGTGGTGCCGAGCAGAATCAGGCTGCTGGCCTCTGCTGGCCTCTGCTGGCCTCTGCTGGCCCCTGCTGGCCTCTGCTGGCCTCTGCTGGCCTCTGCTGGCCTCTGCTGGCCTCTGCTGGCCTCTGCTGGCCTCTGCTGGCCCCTGCTGGCCCCTGCTGTCTGCTCCCGGCCGCTGAGGCATGCGCTCCTCTGAGTTGGCAGAGATCCGGATCCTCCCTTGCCTCCCATCATCCCATCGCATCCATGGCCTGCGTCGCTTTCTTCCTTCTGGACCCACCCTGGCGGCCTGGCTGCAGCCTGTCTGAGCAGCCCAGTGGAGGCAAGAGGTAAACATGACATCAGGCGACAGCAAACAAGACAGGAGCGCCAGCAGCGCAATGGTAGGCCAGGCGAAAGACGGGGGGCGGCAGTGAGCAGACAGATGAAACAGCAGAGCCGAGTGCACCAGAGAGCGGCAGGAGCAGGCATCGATAGGCGGCTAGATCGCAGGCGCGATAAGAGACAGCAGCGCCGAGGATACCTGTTCAGGGACAGCGAGCATTCCAGGCACGGAGCAATTTCGCTGCACGCGCTGCTGATATTTACACACACCCCATTCGCCAGATGCCCCTGCTGCTGCTGCTGCTGCTGCTGGCTTTCTCTTGCTGAAAGGTACCCCATCTGACCTCGCAGCAGACAGCGCGTGGCCCGGGTCGGCAGCACCGCTGAGCAGAAAACGTCGCAGAGCTCAGGTGGACCAGCAGTGGGCACGTGCAGACTCGGCGCACGGGGCAGCTCGACAATCCACCGAGGAGCCCAAGGCGTGCGTATATTGGCAGCAGACAACCAGCGCCAGACAGAGGCGCGAGAGGCATACTACCGCACTGGCTCTGCCAGTCACACCGCAAACATAATTCCTGACTCTGGCGTCTAGCTCCGTGCACCCATTGTGGTGAGACTTCATATCTCTAAATCAGCCTGCCACCCAATTTCCAACTTCACAGCTTTCATATAGCCATCATGTTGGGAGTTGTAGACTGAAAATACATTTTAATTAGGAGGGGCAATAGACTAAGTGGTAGCTCAAGCTCTAGTGCTCATCGCACCAGCGTTTGAGGTCGGCCTGAGTATATTCAAGCGTGATGTTGGTGCTCTGGTACGCCCTGGCCAGCAACGTCACAATGCGCTGGTAGTTGGAAATGACATCCTCAGTCATCGCCTTCCACACAATTGGCTTCAGGCGTGGCTCGTTGACAAAGTGCTTCTCGACACGCTTATACAACTGCTTCAGACTCTCGCGCATCGCACTGCTGTTGTGCGACTGGATCACCTTCTTAAGCTGCGACTTGTTCAGGTTCGGTAGGTTCAGCGGGTTGCTATTCGACGCCAGAGCGCGCTCAACGGCATCAAAGAAGTCAAGCATTTTACCCATCGGCCGCTTCAGCATGTCGCGGTTATAGGCTGTGGTCACCTTGCGCTGCAGGGTCTGTGCCTGCTCAATGTACTGGTCCAATGTCGGCTTGAAGTACGGCTTGGCAGTGCCCGTACGGAACAGCTGTAGGCCGTTGAGCAGAACAAACAGGTTCTCGAGCAGCATGACGTATGTGTTGAGCTGCTCCTTCAGCGCATCCTTGTCATCCGAGTGCTTCGTCACATTCCGCTCAGCCTCACGCAGCTGCGAGTCCAGCGAATCGAAGATAAGTCGCGAGATGCGGCCATACGCCCGGTCGACGATTGTACGTGCCTCCGAGCTGCTGTTACCAATCAGTTCCTCGATATGAGCAACGAATTTCGGGAAGATCCGTGCATAAGGCAGCGCGCCAACGCGCTTCTTGGTCACAAACTTTGTAGCTTCAATGGCGCGTGCTTGCTCTGAGACAAAGTTCTGGAAGATCATTTCAAGCTTGTCATGGCACTTTTCCAGGATGTTAAGCAGGAACCCCTGGTCGCTGCCGCGGCACAAACTAAGCGCTTCGCACACAACCTCAAGCATGCCGATTGCCTGTGACGGGTCGAATCGCGTGCCCATGTCGACCATCGAGTCGACTTGGGAGACCAGATTTCCAAACAGCAAGTCCAGCATGCTCTTGACCTCCTTGACGGTGCCGAAGTGAACAGTGCTGCTAACTACACCCTTTGAGTCGAGCTTGGTACGCGGTGCATCCCAGTGGCCGACGGGCCTAACGTTCTGTGTGACCCAATTGTAGAAGGTAATGTGCTCGCCAACCTTGACTTGCATATCGTCAATACCACCGTTGCCTCCAGCCAATGCTGCAGCAGCGTTTGCTTGACCACGGCGCGCAGCACGGATGTGTGCGGCGGGTACGTAGTGAAATAGATCCGACACAAAGTTCTGCTCGGCAATCACGTTGGCAACGACGTTCTTCACCGCCTTGGCGAACGCCTCGGCAGGCTGCATTTCGCTGCTCGGGGTAACGCCCATGGTTCCCGCTGTGCTGGCATCGTTGCCACTCTTCGAAACTCCTGCCAGAGCCATATGGGCTGCACCGCTGATGCCGTCAAGGCTGAGTCTACGGTTGGATGCAGTGGAAGGGGCACCAGAGACAGCACCTACATTGGTTGAGAATGAGAACTCCGCGATCGGATTGGTTCCGCCGGCGCTCACATCATGGCGGTAGCGGAAGAAGTACGGTCGGCACGAGTCCACCAGTTCCTTGGTCTGTCGGGTATATAGCTGGTTCATACACTGTAGGTACAAGCCTTGCAGATCCTTGTCGGCTGAGGGCTTCGCCTCCTTGAGCCAGAGTGTGAGTCCAACATACTTGATCACTTCCTTGTGTACCGGATCAGGACCAGACAGCAGGCGGATCCCACGAACCCCAAGACGTGACTTGTCGTTCATAACACCGTCGACCTTGAACTGGAACATGACCTTGAGGTAGTCGTACACACGCGTCGAAAAGTTGGAGCTATAAAACTCGTATTTTTTCAGCTTCTCATGGGTAGCCTCCAGCCCACCGAGATTTCCGCTGGGCGTTGTTCCCAGCATGCGCTTCAGCGAGGCCGCCACGCGCTCGACACGCTCAATGCCGGAGGTGGTCTCGAGGGATTCGTTTCGCAGAGTCTGCAGCTCCTCCTCCGATAGTGTGATGGTCTTTAGGATCTTCTCTAGCTCCACAAGTAGCCGCTGCTGGTTTTCCTCCTCGATCTTCAGGTTCTCGTTCTCCAGCTGGATCTTGCGCACATCATCGTCCATTGACTCGAGCTCAAGGCTGTAGAACCGCAGCATCTCGTCCATCTCCTCCAGATGTGCAATCGCCTGGTCGAGCTCCTTGACAATCTTTGGTACTTGCTTGTCAGCCTCCAGCATATCCAGCACATTCTCTGACTCGAGCTTGTGCAACTCGCCCAGTAAACGCGATTCGAGCTGAGCAGCATCGATGTTGGCACGCCATCCAAAATCGCCGACCAGCTCGTCGGCAGACAGCATGAATGCCTCGTCGAGTAGTAGTTCTTCTGCGTCATCCCCGTCATCGTCGAATCCAATGGTGTCCATGACGTTCTCCGGCATTCCGTCGGATGGCTGGGCGCCCATTGGGACTAGCGCCGACACATCTCCCCCATGGTCTGCAACGTACTTTGTCATGCGACGCATCACTGCGGTCTGCTCGCTTGGCATCCGGCTGTGGTGCTGACGCGTCTGCGGCTGCTGCTGTTGTTGCTGCTGCTGCGGCTGTCTTGAGCCACTTCTCGACGCGATTTCACCATTCGCACCCACTCCTTGCTGCTTCCCCAATGCCCTGGCATCAAGCTGTGGGGTGTGTGGAGACGTGCCAGGCATCTGCTGTTGCTGCTGTTGCTGCTGCTGCACATTCTTGGCATATGCTGTCTTGGGACGATTGTTGCCCATACCACCAGCCGGCACTGGCCCGCCAGCACCGCCCGACACCGTGTTAATGTACTTTGGCGGCTTGGCCGAATACTTGTTGCAAAAGTTGACGAGCATCAGCACGAACCCCTCGACGAGTGTCGCATCAGCCGACGTGAGGTCGTACTTGTGGCTCAGGTGCAGCGAGAATCGTGTCGGCTCCTTGAACTCGATCACCTTGACGTCGTCAACACCCCAGGTTTTGCTAATTACCGCAATGTTGCCGTTCATCTTCACCTTATGCAGGCGCAACTTGCGGTTCCGCTTTACCGTGATACAGAAGATACGTGGTTTGGCTGTGCTCGAGCTCTTGGTGCTGTCGCGCTCCATGACGCTCAGCACATTGAGTAGTCGCTCGCGCCGTGGCTGCTGCCCGCCCGAGCTTGCTTTGGCTGCATTTTCTTGCGCGGCTGTAGCCTCGACGCCAATGAATATCTGTCGGCGGAGCGTGTCGGCAATTGCCTTGACTTTGGCCGCCTCTGTCTTTGAAGCCATCTTTTGTGAATGCTGAAAATGTGTGGAAATTCGGTGGAGAAAGAGGGCAAAAATACGTAGCCGCTTTGGCGACCCGCCCAGGCGCTTCTCTGCGACTGACGTCGTGATGCAGACCACACCAGGTGCCTGCTCGATGGCAGAGCCGTGGCTCGCTGTCAATCGGGAACTGAGCCGATCAGTCCAAAAATCTTACCGAGAGCGACGCTTTTTCGCACTTTCACGGCCGCCAATTCGCCGAACCCGCTCTTATCTTCGTACCATTTCCTTTCTTCTTGCACCTTTCCTTTCACTAGTTACAGTTCTAAGGCACGATAAAAATGTCAGCACCGAAGGCAATTATTAACATGCTCGCCACAGGCACACGCATTGTCGGCCGGGCATTTGTTGACGCCTACAAACAGGCAAACATAAACTCTGCGGCCGCGCGCGCCGCCGCTGGCAACATGAAGGCAGTCGCTGACGGCGACAAGATGACAAAGGCGTCAGGAATCACAGTCGATGAGTCACTGAAGATCCTGAACCTGGACGACGCCAACGACAAGGAGTCGATGCTAAAGAAGTACGAGCATTTGTTTGCTGCTAACGATCCGAAGAAGGGCGGCTCGCTTTACTTGCAAGCAAAGGTCATTCGCGCTAGGGAGCGGATAGAGATGGAATGGGCCCAGGAGAAATTGAAGGCTGAGCAGGAGATGGCTGAAAAGCAGGCTGCGGAGAAGGCAGCCACCGAGGGAGGCAAAGTGGAGAGCGATGAGGGCCAAAAGACAAAGACAGAAGCGAAGCCGGACGAAACTGGCAAGAGCCAGTAATGCGTGTATAGAATTAAATAGGCACTCTGCGACGCTGGTTGGCGGGGGAGTGCCTAAAAACATGTGCCGGGCGTGATCGCTATTGCAGGACATAGATCATAAACCTGTATGGAGGTTGCCGATGAATAAATGCTGTGAAAGACATGTATTGTGATAACAGGATTGAAACGATGGTAGAAACATAGTTAGAACGAGGAAAATACGGGGTAGAAACAAGGGTAGATACCGGGTGTGACGAACACATTTTTACAAAAAACTAATTCTTATTGTTCAGCATGCACGCACTCAGGAACCAGCAACGGCTGGGGCAGCAACAGGTATGCTGTCGTCGACAGGCATCGGGTCACTGGCGTATCCGGAAAGCCCATTAACCAAGCCATTGAAGCTATCAGTGAGCCCTTGCATTAAGAAGTTGAACGGATTAGCACCACCATTGTCCGGGTATGCTGCAGGATTCTCTCCTACAGTATTGTAGTCTGCAGGTGTCGCAATGGGACCGGTTGGGATCTGGCCAGTAGGAACGTCTCCAGGGACAGCAGGCGCAGGTGGGGAGTACGACGGGCTTTCGGGATTTAGAGATTCATACGGTTGGTGGGGAATATCAGCAGCGTTGCCAGCTGGGGCTGGCAGCAGCTCGGGAATATCGACAGGTACAGCGGGAGCACCAGCGGCATAGCCAGCAGGAACCTCTGGCAGAGCAGCAGTATCATAACCGGCAGTGTTGAGTGGGGCAGGCAGCGACTCAGGAGCATATAGAGGCGTATTACGACCACCTGCATATGCAGCTTTGTTGATGGGAGCCGGGGCAGCAACTGGCACAGGCAACGGGACTGGGACAGGAGCAGGAGCGGGAACAGGAGTAGGAGCGGGAACAGGAGCGGGGGCAGGAGCTTCGGCCTGAGCGCCATATGGTGCAGAGTCAATGGGTGCGGGCGCCGGAGCATAGACATCAGGAGTAAGTTGTTCCTCGGGAACTGCTCCAGGAAGCGTTTCAGCGGCATACCCAGTGGTGCCCGCAATCACAGGAGCCATAGGAGCCATAGGAGCCACAGGAGCAGCTGGTGCCGCCGGGGCAGCCGAATCATATGCTGCAGGAACTGCAGTACCCAGGAATTGCTGAGTAGCAGCTGTTTCGTATCCAGGGATGGTAGATGGAACCTGTGGCACAGGTGGCTGAGGTAGGTATCCAGCTGCCTCAAGGTTCGGGTCTAGCGCAAGTGCATCCGCGACATTTGCGTAAATCGAAGCCTCCAGGCCGTTTGCCACTGCTGCAAACGGATCCTGAGGAGTTGGAAGTGCTAGAACTGGTCCCATGGCCAAGGCCATGGTAGGAATCGCAAATAAGCGCATGTTTGTTTGGCTGTCGTAAAGGTCGTGACGAAGGTATCGCAATGAGCAAGCGGGTTTCGTTCGGGTTCGTAAAGGTAGGGAGAGGGGAGACGTGAATGGAATTGGTTGATTGGCAAAGAGGGTGAAGAAGGGCAAACATACACAAACCCCTTCGGTCTACGGGCTAGTATGCTGTCTGTCCTAAGGAGCTGTTTCGAATATCCTTATTCTCGCGCCACATATTCTGCAGCTGGAGCATCGGGAATAGTGCATAGGTCAATACGTGTGGCGCAAGGTCTTCCAATATCAACAGCCAGCGCCCAAGCTGTTTGTTCTTGTTTACCATTTAGTAGACTGCCAGCGATTATATTACAGGACAATATAGACCAAGGGGTTTATTCACTGCGCTAGTGTACATGGTGGAATTGGCCAGCATAAGCCGCTGGCATTTTCCTTCCCCGCAGAACAATATCCTCGCGGCCATTTCGACATCTGGCTAGCTGCTGCCAGCCAGCCGCAAACACTGTGAATATGGCTCTTGCCTGGCAAGGAATCTGCGTGAGACGCAAACACAGACCAGTGGCACTATTGCGCAACGCAGTGGCTGCGAGAATATAGTCAACAGCCTGAGCAAATTCGCACAACACAACCTGTCGTTGTGAGCAGGCTGTAAAGTGCAAACTCGAGTCGCCCCGGTCTCCAATGGCAGCCAGCAAGTCGCATATAAATGCTGGAAGGTAGTCCGGTCCCGGAAATGACTTGTCATAGCCATTCCTCATTTGCTTCTTCGCTCCTCTCCATTGCTCTCTGCCCAGAGTACACATTAACCCCACGTAATTACATCAACCATGAAGACCTTCGCTGCCGTCGCTACCCTTGTCGCTGTTGCCCTCGCTGGTGAGGGAGCTTATGAGGCCAAGCCCGCTTACGTGGCCGCCCCCAAGCCTGAGTACCATGCTCCTGCCCCTGAGTACCATGCTCCTGCTCCCAAGCCCGAGTACCACGCTCCTGTCCCCGAGTACCACGCTCCTGCTCCCAAGCCCGAGTACCATGCTCCTGTCCCCGAGTACCACGCCCCGGTTCCGGAGTACCATGCTCCCGCCCCCGTGTACCACGCGCCTGTCCCTGAGTATCACGCTCCTGTCCCTGAGTACCATGCGCCTGCCCCGGTTTATGTTGCCCCGGTCTACCACGCCCCTGTCCCCGAGTACCACGCCCCAGCTCCGGTCTACCATGCTCCTGTCCCCGAGTACCACGCCCCAGCTCCGGTCTACCATGCTCCTGTCCCCGAGTACCACGCTCCTGTCCACAACGCCTATGCTGCCTACTAGAAAGCTTAACTCCTGGTACATCCATCTCTTTAATATAAAGCACTCCAAAAAAAACCACATTTCTATGTATTGACAGTACAATGGGTCTGCATTTTTTGTGCTCTCTGCATATCTGGGTCTTGCGCCACGTATACGGCACCATATACATAGAAGCAAGGCGTTGTTTGGCAAATGCTGCCATGGCAAGCCTCAGACCGGTGGTCTTGATCTGATCTAATATTTCGCTGCTGCTCTGGTGATCTGTTGATATTATCAAACTTTTTTCTGCGGCGCAGTTTGCGTCTGGGCTTACCAGCTAGTGCAACTCAGGGAGCGGGCTGAGATCTTTCTCTTTATTAGTCCAGCGGGGTATCTAAGGAAATTTTTATTCGCATCCATCATGGTACGCATCAGAGATCCCAGCGGGGAGAGGACGCAGCATCAGAGCAAATTGCAATAGACTCTGTTGGCTTTCGATATTAAACTACTGGCGGGATGCTGTTTTTGCTAATTTCAGACGACGCCGAATTTCAAATCCGCACACCTTGTAGCCGTTCGTTAAGCAGCAGAAGAACAAGGCTTACTTCAAGCGCTACCAGGTCAAGTACCGTCGTCGCCGTGGTACGTATATTTCATCTGCTTGACGCGCAGTGCTTTGACGCGGGCGGGGCAAGCTCTCTGGTGTGATGATGTATAAAAGTATAGTTCATCCGAGTTTCAGGAGCCTTCCAACGAGTCGTGCTCTTGGTGATGATCAAATCTTTCGCCCCTATCTGACCAAAGACGATCCCCCGCCTGCCGAGTTCGCCGCAGCTGGCGTATGCTGGTGCCTTTTTGAACAGCCGAATTCGGACGATGTAAACTAAACCCAATTCCGGCACTGTTTGCATTATAGAGGGCAAGACCGACTACTTTGCTCGCAAGCGCCTGGTCACTCAGGCCAAGAACAAGTACAACGCCCCCAAGTACCGCCTGGTCGTCCGCTTCACCAACACTGACGTGATCTGCCAGATCGTGTACGCCAAGATCGTCGGTGACGTTGTCCTGGCCGCCGCCTACTCGCACGAGCTGCCCCGCTACGGTGTCAAGGTTGGTCTGACCAACTGGGCTGCTGCCTACGCCACTGGTCTCCTGGTCGCCCGCCGCGCCCTGACCAAGGTTGGCCTCGCTGACAAGTACGAGGGCTTCCCCGAGATCGACGGCTCCGTCCAGGAGGTCGAGGCCATCGAGGACGGTCCCCGCCCGTTCAAGGCCTTCCTTGATGTTGGTCTGAAGCGCACCACCACCGGTGCCAAGGTCTTCGCCGCCATGAAGGGTGCCTCGGACGGTGGCATCTTCGTGCCGCACTCGGAGCGCCGCTTCCCTGGCTTCGATGTCGAGTCCGAGGAGCTCGATGCCGAGACCCTCCGCAGCTACATCTACGGTGGTCACGTCGCCGACTACATGCGCACTCTCCAGGAGGAGGACGAGGACCGCTACAAGCGCCAGTTCTCGCGCTTCATCGCCGCCGGTGTCTCCGCCGACGACCTTGAGGACATGTACGCCGCGGCCCACAAGGCCATCCGTGCCGACCCGTCGGCCAAGCCCACCGAGAAGAAGGCTGCTGGCTCGTACAAGCGCTTCAACCGTGTTGCCCTCAACTCGAAGCAGCGCAAGGACCGCGTCCGCCAGAAGATCGAGGCCTTCAAGCGCGCCCAGGAGTAAATCTCCAGCGTGTTGCTTGCTGGCGCAGGCTCTCGTTGATAACGTTCCGACTACCCAATACCAGACTGCGAGGTGGCACCCCGCCACATTTTTTGCCCCATCGCAAAATGTTGCTTTGCAGTGTATAAGTTGTTTAAGATTGTGCAATAAGAGCCCTGTCCATCTTCACGTCCTACAAAGCACAAGCGAAATGCCGGTTATTTGCGCGCTGGCGATACTCGTTAATTTAAGGGGTCTCAGGGGAGTCGCATGCACATAGCTCAAAAAAGCAATTACTAAGATCCGAGCTCTGCGGTGCGCATGAGTTTGACCTGGCGTTGCGCTGGCGCCAGCAGCGCATGAAACACGTCAGCTGCGCTATTTTTTGATCTTGATTTTTGGAATGCGAGTATTTTTTGGTACAAAACTGGGAGATTAAAGTTTGCTAAATGGACAAGGTTTGGTCGGGGAGAAGGAAACTTAGACGCAGCCCTGGCTGATCATCGAGTCGGCAACCTTGATGAAGCCAGCAATGTTGGCACCAGCCTGGATGTCGCCCTTGAGGCCGTAGCGCTCGGCAGCGACAAGCGAGTTGTTGAAGATGTCCTTCATGATCTTCTCGAGCTTGTCGTCGACCTCCTGGCGGGTCCACTGCAGGCGCTGCGAGTTCTGGGCCATCTCGAGGCCAGAGACAGCGACACCACCGGCGTTGGCAGCCTTGGCAGGACCGAACATGAAGCCGGCGCTCTTGTAGACCTCGATGGCCTCGTTGGTGGACGGCATGTTGGCGCCCTCAAAGACACCCTTGACACCGTTGGCAGCCAAGACCTTGGCGTCCTCCTCGTCAATCTCGTTCTGGGTGGCCGAGGGGAAGGCGTAGTCGGCAGCAACCTCCCACGGCTTCTTGCCAGCAAAGTACTGGGCAGTGGACGAGAAGGCGCAGTACTCGGAGATGCGGACGCGCTTGACGTTCTTCAGCTCCTTGACGTGGTCAATCTGCTCCTGGGTGAAGCCGTTGGGCTCGAGGATGTAGCCGTTCGAGTCGGAGAAGGTGATGGGGACAGCACCAAGCTGCAGGAGCTTCTCAGCAGTGTACTGCGCGACGTTGCCGGAGCCCGACACAATGCAGCGCTTGCCCTCGAAGGCCTCGCCCTTGTGGGCAAGGTAGTTCTGCGCAAAGTAGACGCAGCCGTAGCCAGTGGCCTCCGGGCGGATCAGCGAGCCACCCCAGGCGAGGTCCTTACCGGTGAGGACACCAGTGAAGTTGTTGGCAAGGCGCTTGTACTGGCCAAACAGGAAGCCGATCTCGCGGGCGCCGACGTTGATGTCACCGGCAGGCACATCGGTGTCCGAGCCGATGTGGCGGTGGAGCTCGGTCATGAAGGACTGGCAGAAGGCCATGACCTCACGGTCGGAGCGGCCACGGGGGTCGAAGTCGGAGCCACCCTTACCGGCACCCATCATGAGGGTGGTGAGCGAGTTCTTGAAGGTCTGCTCGAAGGCCAGGAACTTGATGACCGACAGGTTGACAGTCGGGTGGAAGCGCAGACCACCCTTGTAGGGGCCCAGGGCAGAGCTCATCTGGACACGGAAGCCGCGGTTGACCTGCTGCTTGCCGGCGTCATCAATCCAGGGGACACGGAAGACGATCTGGCGCTCGGGCTCAACCAGGCGCTCGAAGGCCTCGAGGTACTGCGGGTCCTTCTCGAAGACGGGGGCGAGGGACTCGAAGACCTCCTCGACCGCCTGAAGGAACTCCTTCTGGTCGGGGTCGCGGCGACGGATGTTGGCGCGGACAGCGTTGATCTGCTCAGCAACAGTGGACATTGTTTGGGTTGTGTTTTTTGATGGGTGTGAAGAGTCGAGGTTTGGTTGTGGTGTAGAGAAAATTTTTAGAAACGCTTAGGGAAATGCCCCGGGGGTTTTATACTCGCGATCCAGACTAGCGCGCGTCCAGTATATTGCGCTTAGCGTGACTTTCGCACTTGCTCTAGCTCGCCAGGCCCCCACCGCCCAAAGCTTCTGGCATTTTGGATCGATTTTGCGCCAATAAAGACGCCCGGAAATCCCAAGGTTTGGGGGGAGGTTCGTCACACACCCCCCGGCAACGGCCCGCAACGAGAAAAAAGGGCCGCTGCGGGCGAGATTATTTGACGCTTTCGCCATGACCAGGAAACAAGCAGCTGAAACAAAAAATAGCGAAATTAAAGCTGGGTGGATTGCCTATCACAGACCAATCTCGCCGTGGCTGCCGGCCGCTGCAGGCCTGGGGCACTGACCCCTCCCGGCTGCAAACTTGCGTCTTGTTCTGCGCACAGGCAGCATACCCGCGCGCGCATGCCAGCCAGCATGCATCCTGTATATGCCTCCTCTCCTGCCCGGATTGTGCCGGAGCCTGGTGTGTTACGGAACGGCTGGCGCAGGCAAAGGGGTGGTGGCCCCACTTGTGCCTGGCAATAGATGGAGCACCATGTATTGGATGATTGTCTGCATGTAGCCCCACCCCTGAGCGAGGCCGCCATGTCAGAGTAGCAGCTCGTGCGGTTTGCTCATATTGGGGGCCGGCTGGACCGGGCATTCGGCGTGTTTACAATGGCCTGAGGGTCTGGCTCGCTCTGCTGCCAGCCATGATGCGGCGGCAAGGGCTAAATTCCCCTTGGTGTGTGCGCTAGCAGAAACTCGGAACGCTGGTTTGTGCTGCTGCATGCGGTAGGTAGCGTGCAGTATGTGCATCAGCGCGCAGTGATGGCTAGGTACTGCTATGCGCTGACGCTATACTCCCGGATTCCCTCTTGCTGCTGGGCACTCTTGCCGCATCTCCCCCGCGAGACTGCGGCGCACCCGCAGCGGCAAACTGCTGTGGCTCAAATGCCGATGGGCTCCGAGATGCGAGGACCGGAACCAATGGGGGCCTAGTAGCCGGCTCTCCAGCACGACTCGGAAGGCCCCGGAACCAAAAGGCCCACTCCCAACCCGTAAAGCGCAGTGGGCCATGGCTGGGTCCGCTGGGCATTAACGCGGCAAATTGTCATGATGTCACATTAACGGCGCCGGTAGATCCCTCTCCGAGCCTGCGTACAGCAGATATCCCGACCGCTCTTCTTTTCTCTTTATCGCGCAGCGATCGCAGAGCACCAATTGGCCGGGCTCTGCAGAATAGAGACCAATGCTACATCAATCCCCAGGGGCGCTTTTGTTTGCATGTCCACGCGCCTTATCTCCAGAGATCATGGCCTCAAAAGCGACAAAACGCATTCTTCATTGACGTTCAGTCATATGCCAGACATTACTTCTGATGGATAAGGGGCATATAGCACCGAATGCAGCACCCCATGCCTCTCCTCCGGCCAGCTCCGGGATTCCACAAGTGAATATGGTGAAGACCGACCGGCACTTCGTGCTCGCAGCGCCGCACAAGCGCGAGAGCCCAGAGCCTCCTCCAGGTCCGTCCAGGCAATTCCTGCCCCTGATGTGTGCGCCTGTCCCTATGCTGTCCTTTTTCGCTGCCTATAAATACCAGCCAGGGCGCGAATTTCCTCACGCGACAGAAAAATCCCCGGCATTTCCTCTTTGAACATTTTACTCCCCTTCTCACAGCCTTCAGCATAACTTTCCATCAGTTTCTGTAAACCAGAAAGCCCATGCACTAAAACTCGCTTGCATTATCTCTGCCCATCGCTGGGCTCATCAACCTACCGGCCCAGATAAGAGACGCACCCCCTTGGTCGCTGCTGGAAATGCGCCTGACGGAACAATTGCAAAAACAGCCGCGCTTGGGCGGCACAAGCCAAAGCGTCATAATGGGCCCTCACATGCGGGCGTTTACAAACCTCGTGGTGATCCCCTTGCTACTCCCTATGCACATGGGAGAGTTCCATTCCAGGGGTATTCTCCGGCAGGCGCTAAGCTGCACACCCGCGGAGTGGTGCTCATGCCGCTCGAGGTGGGTGTGTGCTCGGTACAAGTGCCAAAGCTGCTTGCGCGATGAGGGACAGATAGTGATGCTGCGCTGATAAGGTGCCCAAGGGGTATAATGCGTCATGTGTTCGCGTATTCGAGGCACAGCTGCGGGTTCTGGCCAGGAAAAGCATTATCTTGGGCAATCGCTGTGGTCAAGCAGGCATTCCTGCTGCGATCCCGAGCACTGATTGCGCGGGATAATGCACGTCACAGAAGGCGACACTAGAAAGTCAGCCTTGGGGGATGCGGATTGCAGTTTGGTCTTATCTCTTGCCATCAGCACGCTTTTAGGCGAGAACGGAACCGCGGGTGGGGGTTGCGTGAAACGCTAATTAGGTGTGTTGTCTATAGTTGGCTCGGAGGTTTTTTAGATGGCAGCGATCTGGAATGGGCTTTCACGAGCCTGATTGACGTTTGGCGGACGGGGGATTAAGGTTTGTAGGGGAAAGGGGCGACGGGTGGTTGCACACGGTGCTGGGGTCTAGCCAGGATCTGGTGGCAGGACCCGACTCGGGTCGCCCCTTGGAGATTACAGCGCAAAGCTACCTGATCAGACGCAGAGCTTGTTTGTCCACGTACCCAGAAAGTGTGAGAGATTACTGGCAGGTCGCTCGATCGAGATCTGCAGCGACAACACTGCAGCATGAGGTGCTCGCAGAGGCAAGTCTAGATGAGTATACGCTCACAGTCTGCTAGATGAAAACTGGATGCTGTAATTGTATACCTTTTCGCTCTAGTATATGGAATAGCCCTCAAGACACCAAAAGATCAAGCAATGCCTGACACATAAAATCCTTATCTCTCTGCTATGCATAATTTCAGTCCAAAAGCGTCGTCCGACCCTCCGCTAGAACGTTTCTGATTGCTTGAAAGGACTCGCGTTTTTTTGAGCCTCAAAACGAGTATGCAGTACTTGCTCTGAACACCTAAAACAGTACTCTTTTGGTCGATGGATTTAGATCTGAAGGTGACACATATTTCTTAAAAGCACTGGTAAAAACGAATCCGGAGCAAACTCAGCCCAGATCCAGTGCTGATCATGAGCAATTGGGGTGCGCCGATGGCCCGACACCATGCGCGGATCCGTGGCAAGGGATGGCGCGACAAGTTCAAACATCATGGCTCTAAAGTCTATCTGGTTGACGAATTCCAGATATTGTCGATGTGCCCGTTCTGCTGCGAAAAGTCGCTGCAGCCATTCCGGTATGTTCCCAACCCGCGGCCCTACCAGAGATCGAAGAACCCAACTGTGAAGTGCCATGGCCTTCTCCGCTGTACAAGCGAGTCATGTAAGCGGGCCATGGCACAATACAGGCGGGCCTATTCGTCACGGCTCTTGAACCGCGATCTCGCAGCAGTTCTGAACTTCAGGCTCATTTTCCAGTCACTCTGTGATTCAGGCGATATTCCTGAACGGTTCTGTCGCTCTGCAGCCATTGCTGCCAATGCTTCTGGCGCCACCCCTGAAACAAAGAACCCGCGCAAGAGGCGTGCAGAAGCTGCAGGCGATTCTGGTGCCAGCAGCAGTGAGCCAGCGCTGAAACACCTGCGCTGAGCAGGCCACCAAGATGGGAGATGTCCATGACCGCCATTGCACCAACAACCATCCGACACGTTCAAATGACCGGTTCGCCGCGATGCTTTTATCGACGTGTCAACCCATGCTGACTAGCAGCCGAGCTCGCATCGCGGGTGGGGTAATTCTAGTAATTGCCATTATCCGTAATCTTTACCAACAAAAAGTGCTGCTATGATGAATTGAATGGTTCTGATTTGGAAGAAGGGTTGATATTATTGAAGAGTTGTTTGAAAGTTGTTGTGCCCACCATCCCACCACCCGTCCTTCCCACATGCCTGTAAAAAATGTAAGCATACACAGAAAAATACAGAAGAGCTGAAAGCTTGAGCTCCATGATGTGTCGGCAATAAGTGTCAGACACGGAAAAAGAAGTCCTTGAAATGCCTTGGGGCTTGATGATGACGCTGAGAGGCTTGTGACGTCGTGCCGAAACCGAACCGTGCCGAGCAGCAAGGCGATCATATTCTGACTGCTCAATGACGACCGTTGACCGCGGTGATTCCAACGAGCAAGCGAGCGACGAGCCGCAGGACTTGTCCTGGTAGCGAGCGTGCTTGAACCGCCGTGCGAATCTTGGTCGAGCCGCAGAGCTGCGAGGAAGCATCGAAGCGCGAGTTGCCTGTCCAATTTGACTGGTGCTGGCCAACTGTCGAGAGCCGTCCGAAACGCGAGTAAAGACATAAAAATACAAAATCCTATATACTACTCCACACATGCTCTGTACATGTAACAACCACATCGCCAATGCTAAATATATCGCCTGTCCAACTTGCACCCTAGCTGACATCACCGTCGCCACTTAACCTTCGCGCAGTGCGCTGTCTTTCTGTATACTCCTTCTAAACATCGCCGCAGCATTTAACCGAAGAGCAACAATCGTGCAGCTTGTATCCAAAAAGCGATCTCTTGTACTATAGTAGAGAACACACGCAGGGTGCTACAAAGCACTCCACACAACTATCCTATGCGGAAACATAGCATGGAAACGCGGTGCAAAGGGGAGTGACTCCCGGTGGCTACAGGATAGCAAAAATGGTAGGCATCCACAAACACATTTCAACAAACACTCATCATGTCTTTCCTGGAGGGGGAAGGTAGCCAAGATGTGCCGAAAGCTGATGTGCCGTCTCCGTTCGCTGATCATGACCACATGTCGAAACGGCCGGTGCCGGCGAGGGGAGAAGATCGATCTGGACCGGAAATGTAACGAAAGCAGTGAAGCAAAGATTAGGCGAATGATGTAGCAAAGAAGAGAAAGGGTTCGAGAATAATAAAATAAGGTAAAGAAAGCAGCGAGACAACGAGGTCGCACGACATTGAGAGAAATAACAGGAATGCAAAGAGAGAGAGAAAGGGTACGCATGGACGAAGCCAGCCAGAGAAAGCAGGCAGCGGGAGGTTTGGATCCTTGAGCAATGTAGATAACGCTTGGAGGCGGCGGGCACGCTCATCCCTAGCTCCCCTATCAACGTGGCAAAGCACAGGCAAAAAATGGCCAGCGGAAACAAAACGAGGCGCTTGGGTTGTGGGAAGCACGAGCGATATCAATCGAGATGCATGGCTTGAAGTCGACAATAGACGAAGGGAGGGCGCAAGAACCGTAGCTTGACAGGCACGAAAGAAAAAATCCAAGCACGAGAGATGCCTAAGGCGAGGGAGGGGATCCCGAAAACACCAATCGACAAAAGGCAGACACTATTCACACACAGGGCCGATGCTTGTCAGCCTGAACAGCCCCCCCTTAAAGCACTTGGTTTACCAGTGTCGAAAGGCAAAAGCTTGTGGCCCGCAACGGGGGGCCCATGACAACTGCAGGCGGATACGACGGATGTTATCCCCTACACTGCTACAACATGCTTTTGGGCAGAAACACGCAGACGGAATGCAACACATCGGAGGCCACAAAGACAGTGGGCAAGGTTAGTGCGCAAAACAGAGCAAGCGGGACGACACGGCCATCTCACCACTTTAGCTGTCAGCTAGCCAACAAAGAGAAGCAGACGCTGGCTAGCACGGAAAGCCTTGCGCGCAGTGACATTGGACGAGCAGCAGCAGCAGCAGTTCTTCGAGAGGGAAAAACGAGTAGTGTGCGAAGAGGGGTGCTGAGGGGATGAGGAGAGAGAAGAGAGTCTCCAACCTGGCACTATTTATAACATCCGCGGGGTGCAAGCAAGCACATGCCCAGTCAGCTGATATCAGTGATGGGAATTTTTAGCAGTGAGAATGTTTGTTTCAGCGACACCCACACTGGTGACAGTGAGGACAGTAGCGGGCAGATGTCTTCCCGCCTGTCACTCTCGACATTACTGGGCCAACTCTTTGCATATGGCCCACGCATATCCAAGCCTACTTGGATATCTTGCAAGATGCCCGTCGATTTGGGCCAGCTGGCAAGCAATGCCGCATATGGCACGACGCTTATATACACTCGACACATACCGCAGTTAAAATAGTAGTGAGGTTTACTTGAGGTAGAGAAGATATGAAGAGAAGGGGAGTGTCCAGACTAGGGGCAAAAAGAATTGGAAATCATGGCAAATAGCCGCAAATGTCAGGTGCGATGAGACAGCCGCATCCGCATCCGCATCCGTATCCGCCCAATGCTCTTAGGCCTGGGCCTGGGCCTTGGAGGCGACAGCTGCACGGCCAGCCCGCTTGGCGGCATGGGCGGCAGGCTTGACGCGCGGGTTGTAGATGACACGCCTGCGGTTGGCTCGACCACGGTTCTGGCGTGGAGCCTGGCCTCTGGCACCCTTGCGGGTGCGCTTGACGCCTCGGCGGGCACGAGCACGCTTGGGGCTGTAGTCACCATCGGGCTGCGCACCAGTGTAAACGGGCGAGGTGGCAGCAGAAGAAGCATCAGTCGAGGACTCCTCAGCAGGGGTAGTAGGGGCAGCCAAGGAGTAGCCGGTAGTTGATGACGGGGCAGCAGACGATGAGCTAGGACCTGCTGATGAGCTAGGAGTTGCTGATGAGCTAGGACCTGCTGATGAGCTGGGAGCTGCTGATGAGCTGGGAGCTGATGATGTGGGAGCAGCCGACGAGTACGCAGCGCTCGAGGAGACCTCTGAAGACCCAGAGGATGAGGCAGGGGTCTCTGAAGAGCTAGGAGATGGAGCAGGGGTCTCTGAAGAGCTAGGAGATGGAACAGGGGTCTCCGAAGAGCTAGGAGATGGAGCAGCAGAAGTCGAGTATGACGGGCTAGGAGATGGAGCAGGAGTCTCGGAAGAGCTAGGAGATGGAACAGGGGTCTCCGAAGAGCTAGGAGATGGAACAGGGGTCTCGGAAGAGCTAGGAGATGGAACAGGGGTCTCCGAAGAGCTAGGAGATGGAGCTGCAGAAGTCGAGTATGACGGGCTAGGAGCAGGAGCTTCAGACGAGCTGGGAGAAGGAGCTTCAGATGAGCTAGGAGAAGGAGTTTCAGACGAGCTGGGAGCAGGAGCTGCAGAAGTCGAATATGATGGGACAGGGGCAGGCACTGGGGCTGGAGCCGGAGCCGGAGCCGGAGCCGGAGCTGGGGCTGGGGCAGGAGCCGGAGCTGGAGCTGGTTCAGGGGCAGGAGCTGGAGCAGGAGCCGGGGCAGGAGCAGGAGCTGGAGCTGGAGCTGGTTCAGGGGCAGGAGCAGGAGCTGGAGCGGGAGCAGGAGCAGGAGCTGGAGCGGGAGCAGGAGCAGGAGCTGGAGCAGGAGCAGGAGCAGGAGCCGGAGCAGGAGCAGGAGCAGGAGCAGGAGCTGGTTCAGGAGCTGGAGCTGGAGCTGGAGCCGGAGGCGGTGCAGGGGCAGGAGTCGGAACCGAGGGGGCAGAAGACGAGTAGGAAGAGGCGGGAGCCGGGGCTGGTGCAGGTGCAGGAGCCGGAGCCGGGGCAGGAGCCGGAGCTGGTGCTGGGGCAGGAGCCGGAGCTGGGGCAGGAGCTGGGGCAGGAGCCGGAGCCGGAGCCGGAGCTGGTGCTGGAGCTGGAGCTGGAGCAGGAGCAGGAGCTGGAGCAGGAGCAGGAGCCGGGGCTGGTGCTGGAGGCGGTGCGGGGGCAGAAGACGAGTACGAAGAGGCGGGAGCCGGAGCTGGTGCTGGGGCAGGAGCTGGTGCTGGTGCTGGTGCTGGTGCTGGGGCAGGAGCTGGTGCTGGTGCTGGTGCTGGTGCTGGTGCTGGTGCTGGTGCTGGTGCTGGGGCAGGAGCCGGAGCTGGGGCAGGAGCCGGAGCCGGAGCCGGAGCCGGAGCTGGGGCAGGAGCAGGAGCAGGAGCCGGGGCCGGGGCCGGAGCTGGTGCTGGTGCTGGTGCTGGTGCTGGTGCTGGTGCTGGTGCTGGTGCTGGTGCTGGGGCAGGAGCCGGAGCCGGAGCCGGAGCCGGAGCCGGAGCAGGAGCCGGAGCAGGAGCCGGGGCAGGAGCAGAATAGGCCGATCCTGGACTAGACCCGTAGCTGGAAGCAGGAGCCGGAGAACTCATGTAGGTAGTGGCAGGAGTATCAGAGGAACTAGGAGCTGGAGCAGAATAGGCCGATCCTGGACTAGACCCGTAGCTGGAAGCAGGAGCCGGAGAACTCGCGTAGGTAGTGACAGGAGTATCAGAGGAACTAGGAGCTGGAGCAGAATAGGCCGATCCTGGACTAGACCCGTAGCTGGAAGCAGGAGCCGGAGAACTCGCGTAGGTAGTGACAGGAGTATCAGAGGAACTAGGAGCTGGAGCAGAATAGGCAGATCCTGGACTAGACCCGTAGCTGGAAGCAGGAGCCGGAGAACTCATGTAGGTAGTGGCAGGAGTATCAGAGGAACTAGGAGCTGGAGCAGAATAGGCAGATCCTGGACTAGACCCGTAGCTGGAAGCAGGAGCCGGAGAACTCGCGTAGGTAGTGGCAGGAGTATCAGAGGAACTAGGAGCTGGAGCAGAATAGGCAGATCCTGGACTAGACCCGTAGCTGGAAGCCGGAGCTGGAGCAGCTCCAGATCCATACGACCCTGAACTGTTGTCAGGGTTGTCATAGGACCCATTGTAACCCGAAGCATTGCTTGACCCCGCTCCATACGAAGGACCAGCATTAGGAACCGGTGCAATAACAGGGACAGGCGCAGCAGCAGGAGCCGGGGAGGCAGCAGGGGCGGCTTCAGAGGCGGGGGCGGCGGCCGAGGAGGCCGCATAGGAAGGAGCGGCAGCAGGGACTGGGGCAGAGACAGGGGGAGGGACAGCAGCAGAGGCAGAAGCTGGAGCTGATGCAGAGGCAGAGGCATATACTGGAGTGGAAGCAGCAACTGGAGAAGGAGCAGCTTCAGTCGACGGAGCAACAGATGGAGCCGAAGCCGGAACTGAAGCAGAGGAATATACCGGAGTGGGAGCAGCTTCAGTTGACGGAGCAACGGATGGAGCAGAAGCCGGAACTGAAGCAGAGGAAGATACTGGAGGAGGAGCAGCTTCAGTCGACGGAGCAACGGATGGAGCAGAAGCCGGAACTGAAGCAGAGGAATATACCGGAGTGGGAGCAGCTTCAGTTGACGGAGCAACAAATGGAGCAGAAGCCGGAACTGAAGCAGAGGAAGATACTGGAACAGCGGTAGCAGCAGGAGCAGGAGCAGTTTCGGTCGACGGAGCAACAAATGGAGCAGAAGCTGGAACTGAAGCAGAGGAAGATACTGGAACGGCGGTAGCAGCAGGAGCAGGGGCAGGCACAAACACAGTGGCTACAGTACCTGAGGGAGCTGATGCGTAGCCTGTGGCAGCAGCCGTCACTGGAGCAGCCGACGAAGCCGGAGCAGCAGCAGGAGCCGCTGCCGGTGAGGCAGAGTATGAGCCACTGCTCGCCGACGCTCCAGTATCAGCCGAAGCAGCACTATCACTGCTGTCAGCAGCAGGGGGCGAAGCAGTATCAGCAGTCGCCGCAGGGGCAGCCGATGACTCGCACGACGGTGCCAACGACGAAGAGTCGAAGCTCGTTGTAACGACATCAACACCGCTGTAGTCGGGTGTGTCAGACGAATCTAGATCGGTAGATGACTGATCGACATCATCGGATGACGATTCAGCATCGTAAGCGTCGGCAGTGTAGTCCTGCGCAGAGAACATGCGGCCCATTCGCACCAAGCCAAGGGGCTGCATCTGGTTGTCTGCGTAGGCAAGACCGCCCACTGGGATCGGCTCAGCCAATGTCGTCGCCAGCGAGGCAAGAGCGGCCAGGAGAGAAAGAGAGAAACTAGCCTTCATGACTTATGCAGGTTTTGTTTGAATGCTTGGTGATTTGATGAATGCGGTAATGCTTGGAGCAAAGGCTTGCTTGATCAGATGAAATGAATAATGAAAATGCAAGGGTGGATTGAACGTCGGGTGAAGCGAGGTTCAAGGAGATTCAATATGCGTATTTATATGACGGAAAGGGAGAGAAGGAGGGAGAGGGGATAGGAGGAAGGCTAGTTATTAAAAGGCAGTTGCCAGCAGATTGAGGAGCTGCAATAGAAATAAGGGATGATAAGTCAAATCAAGATTGTTCGTACTCTATCCTTTATAAACACTTTCTTCAGCTGCAGATAGCCTTGGCTGCTTGCTTTCTAATCAAGAACGTATTTCCCCGGATACAGCCGTACGCTCATCTTCTGTTTGTGGACGGAGTCAGCAGTTTGGGACCAGGCAATGCCTATTGCGGAGGGGTTCGATTTTAGAGAAGATGGAATGCAGCTAGCAGCAAGCAGCTTGCAGATCCACTCACCATGAGCACTCCGCGCTATCTCGTCTAGTAAGCGTGTGCGACTATTTGCTGCTGCAGATATTAACATCGCAATTGCTTTCCGCATACCCCGGCGCATTTCATTAGGCATGGAGAACCCTGAGGATGGAGATGGTGCGATCTGTGGACGGGCTTTGCACATATACCCAGGGATGCAGAAATTATGAAACATCGTATTTCACAAAAACACCCCAGGATAATTTTCGCGCTCCACCATTTTGTATGTTCGCACGGAATTCTAGCTGGCATCTCTCTGGCTGCGAGGTGGGGGATCATTGTCAGAAGCATCTAGACGGCTATATACCCTGCATTTGGATACGCTCAGTTTCCTCCACTTCCCCTCCTGTTCTCGCAATGTATTGGGCTATATTTCCATATTCCTAAATACCAACAAACACTAAAAATTAGCGACATCCACCACAAACCAGAATTTCGGGATATCAGTGCTATGTGCTTAATTTCTCATTTCTAAAATCGCCGACAATGGCCCGGATAGTTTCAGCAAGCCCAAATGCACTGACAACAATACCAAACGCCAGCAGCAGCATCAGACCCAGCAGAGAGCGCTTGCGGATATTACGCCAGCCCTTCAGCTTGATATATGCTGCAATTGGTGTCAGGTAGACAAGAACCGGGCTGGTCAGTGCGCTGACAAGCGAAATGACATCCTCAAAGAAAGGCAGAGCCTCTGCCATGCCCAGGATAACCAACGCAGCACCAATCCGAACGCACAGGCGCCAAATGACTTCGGCCCGCTTGCCCTTGCTGGCGATATCAAGGCCGCTCTCAATTTCCAGTGCCATCTGTACCAGAAACAGCGGGCCAGCAAACAGCACATGAATGGTAATGCATATATCTGCGAGGAACGTCGGCCATGTTCTTGGGAAATTTAGAGTTATTGGCGACAGCGTCCTATCACCATATGCGCTGTATCCGGTCGATGCCATGACCATGTAGATGCAGGTTACGACAAAAAGCGCAGAACCAAATACTCTGCCAAACTTCTCTGGGTGCTGCATGCCACTCTCCAGGTGGGGGACAATTGTAGATCCAACGTATGCAAATGACATGGTGGAAAGCGAGACAGCAAAGCCGCTAGGCAAGGCTGCAAAATGGTGGATCGGACTTGAGTGCGTGACGCTACTGCTGATATGCATCTCGCCATTGCGAATCGGGTAAACTATTGCCATGACAATAACTATCAGCGTGGCTATGATTGAGGTGGCAGTGCCGATCAGGCTGACCAGGAACGTCTCTCCCAGCGTCCGCGTAAGCAGCGTTGGAATGCACATAGTAGCGGTGGTAATGAGCATCAGAAAGCGCGAGCCCAGGTGGACGTTCACTCGTGCAAGCATCTCGGAGATGTTGTTGGCAGAGAGGATGGCATAGATGCCGACAGAGCCGATAATGCCGAGCATGTTGAAGGCAGACACGATGTAATAGCCAGGCTTGCCAAAGGCCTCAAGTCCGATTTCGTGGAACCCGCTGATTTTCCCGCCACCCGCCTTCAGATACATGCACCGGACAGTAATTATGGAGGTGATGAATGCAACGGTGCCAGCAACGAATACAAACAAGAGGCCAACCCAACCGCTCTGCCGGAGCGCATATGAGAGCTGCAGAGATCCTACGCCGATGGCCACACATCTATTGAAGGCTGCTTGCGCTTAATTCCTTTGCACTGTCTTTTGTGAATGCAATTCAGTGGTTTCAGGACAGCACTTACATGATGTTCAAAAAGGCGCTGAGCGATGAACCCTTCCCCGCATCATCGTCACTGATATGGAACTGGCCATCGCCGAAATCGCTGCTGTCTTTGGAGATTAGTGCCTTCTCTGTTTCAGGGCTGCCGAGTAGGGCGGACGACATCTGTGAAGCAGCAAACACAGACGACGACGATGATATGCGAGGGCTACTGGTAGTGGTGCCATTAGGAGGAGTCATATTGATGTCTCGAGAGTTGTGATAATAGAGCAAAATCGCATGCGCGCTGTAGAGGTTGGAGGACAGTTTCCGGGACCGATGGCTGCTTGTTTTTATTCTGGCGCTCTCTGGGAAACTCGCGGCCTGGACTGCTTTGTGCAAACAACAAATACAGTCTGCTGGCCTCGCTTTCTCCCAATGTGCGTGTGGCTTTCTTTCTTCAACTAGGTCTGCCTGTATACGGCTGGGAACTGAGCACCGGCAGCCATGCTCCACCGGGCGACAGACGTGTATCTACTGCCACATTTACCCCCTCAAGCGCATGCTCTCCACTCCACCACCCACACTATAATATGCACGGCGCTACTATTGCTGAATGGTGCAACCCACATGTAGAAAGAAGTGCTACTGGTGTAGCTTTGCATAGTGCATCGAAATGGAGTCAAGCCAGCCTGCGCCGCTGCCGGAAATGCCCATCCAGCCATACCCCTGCGGGGGCTTTAGGATATGCTCGCTTCCGCCGCTTCCGCCCTTCCAGCCGCTGCGGTGGCCCTTGCGGGTGACGAACTCCAGTCCGTCAATCCACCAGCCCGAGCGCACCACAACATGGTCCAGGTCGTCGTCAGGCGCAATGAGCACCTCGGAGCGGTGGCCGCCCTGGCACTTGCCTACGGGGAAGCTCGAGCCATCGTCCATGTGCAGGATGAATCCGTCGACGAACTGGCCGGCGCGCAGCTCAATGCAGCGCAGCTTGGGCAGGGACGAGCGCGCCATATCCTTGCCGGCAAACAGGGCGTCGAATCTCTGCGAGTCCTTCATCTGGCCCTTGCCTAGCTGGTTAGATTGGAATACAAGGATGCCGTCGCGGTCGCGGCGCGATCTGTCGTTCATCAGGGCGCCAATGTCTTCGAGCGTGTCGGTGTCGGTGCTGCGCGAAGTCAGCACAAGCTGCAGCTTATCAGTGCTGGACCAGCCGCCAGCCCAGCCCTTCCAGGCGCCCAGGTTGACGAGGATCGAGCGCGGGTGGGCGCAGACTATCTCGTCGGGTGCCGCTGGCACGGCGCCGTTGCGGCGGCGCTCGAGGTTCTCGACGGTGTACTCGCGGTGACAGCGGTAGTGGTCATTGACCCACACTTCGATCATGGTGATACCCGCAGCGCACTGCAATAGCAGGCCATCCTCGGTAGGCAGGGCCTCGAAGCCGCTCTCCTCCGTCTCACCTTTCTCCAGCGGCGGGTCAGTGGGCAGGCGCAGGCACGGGTGGTGTCGCAGGCGGATGACGTCGGTACGATGCCAGTGCGAGCCGCTCTCATCGCGCTGGCGCACCGGGCCGGCCATGTCAGGCGCGCGCGCCATGAACGTGCGGTTGTAAAAGTTGAAGCCGCGCGACATGATGCCTGAGGGAGTGTGGGCCAGCGTCAGCAGATGGCCGGCCTCATGCAGAAACGCACCCATGCCGATGTTGGCCGCACGCCAGTACTCACCGCACTCGTTGCAGTCGTTGGCCAGGTAGCGCGTGTCGGTCTTGGTTGTGTCCAGGAACTTGGCCGCAACCTCCTCGGCGTTGCCAGGCCACGCGTGTGTGGTATGTGAGCCGAACACACCCAGCCGGCGGTTGCCCACACCACCGCCCAGTGCGGCATGGCCGAGGATCACGCCGAGCTCGGGGTCCCAGCGCGAGTCCACCGACAAGCACACAACATAGTGCTTGTCCTTGAATGCCCCGTAGTCATCCAACGCCTCGTTGGCAATGCTGAACTGCGATTCGTCGGTCTTGCGCTTGTAGCCGGGCGGCGGGTTCCACTGCTGCGCACGCTCCTTGTCCTGGATCTCGGCCACCGTGCGCTTGGACCGCACCACATGCACGCGCGCCGTCATCCGCGGCACATTGTCCTTGGCCATCGTATCCGGCTCATACGACTCGTCGAGCCGGAACGTGCGTCGCCCGAATCCGTTGCGGTAGAGCTGCTCGGCTATGTACGCCTGCCACAGGTATGCGCAGCACCGAAACTTGCGTACTGCCGCGTCCAAGTCGCTGATGCCCGGGCCACGCGCGTCGGGCGGCGCGTCAAACACGCCCTGCGAGTCTCTGCCGACAATCACCGCCAGGTTGAGCGGTGGCTTGTCCAGATATGGCATCATCTTGATGCACAGCGTGCCCTGGCTGGCTATCTCGCCGCCCTGTCGGTAGTCGAAACGCAAGTTGTTGTCGCCGTTCTCCAGCTCCACCAGCACCTTGAAGAACCCGTCAATGGCTGGGAACGTAAGGGGTGGGAAGTACGGGTGGTGAACCACGATCTTGTCCTCGCTGCTGGTGCGCAGCCCCGGTACCTGCCCGTACACAATCAGGAACCGCTGGTGCACAAGCTCCTCATGCTTGACATTCAGGAACTCCATCTGCTGATCAGGCCGCCTGTCGTCGCGCCGCTTGCGATGGTGCTTCTTCTCGCCGTCAGCCGTCTCCGGCTGGATGTCATGCTGGTCCAGCGGCAGTGGAATTCCGGGCGGCACTTGGTCGCTGGAAAACGAGCCGAGGCTCTGCCCAAGGCTACTGCCTGCAGGCGCATGATGCCTTGCATCGCTGCCACGTGACTGATGCTGGGTATCTTGGGTTGGTGGTGGGCCGTTGCTCGTCCGCCGAGGTTTAGGCGGAGGTCCATCGCCGGGTGCCGACAACGGTGGAGCGCCCTGCTGAGAAGGAGGGCCTTGCTGAGAGGGAGTGCTGTTCTGGGAGGGAGGCCCCTGCTGTGGTGGCGGGTATCCGTCATTGCCACCCGGCGGTGGGTACGGCGCGCTCTGACCCTGCCAATACGGGGGCGGCTGCCCCTGCCATTGCTGATTCTGAGGTGGTGGCGGTGGATACTGGCCACCTGGATACGCAGACATCCCCTGAGGACCAGGGTATCCGCCATAGTAGCCCTGGCCGTATCCAGGCTGCTGCTGCGGTGCCGGCGGCATAAAGAATCCTCCTGGACCAAAATCGCCCGGTGGAGGCGGGTACACTGGCTGGGGATAACCCTGGTTTGGTGGGTAGCCCTGGTTCGGGTGTGGTTGCGCTGGATATCCCTGATTGCTATACTGTGGCGGCTTCGTGTTGGACGAAGGGACCGGCGGTGGCTGTTGCTTGTCGCGGTCGATACTGCGAGAACCGCCCGTGACGCCCAGCTTCTCAAACTTTGACCTGAGATTGTCAAATGTGGACATTGTGAGACAAATGCGATAGAGTTGACTTTGGAGACAAAAATGCGTATTTTGCGGCTCATTCTTGGCTAGTTCCCTGAGTACCCCGTACTGAGTCTTGGTGCCACCCTCGACGTCATTGACATGGTGTGATTACCGTATCAAATTATCACACTAATGGCAGCCCTGTAAGTGCGCGTAACCAGCAGCTATTCTTAGAACAGGTGTGTTTGTGCTAGTTGGCTTCCAGGCCAGACCGCCGTAGCAGTATGAACACACCCTTTCAATAGCTTGCGCGCTGCCGATGAGCGCAAATCTCAGTACTGCGGCGGAGCTGTTGCCCTGGCAGTGCTGCCAATAATAAGCAGCAATGGTTTGAAATGCAGCATCAAGTTCCTGGCACATGTGCGGCTGCCAATGGCTTGGCCGGCTGTTAGCACAAGTCATTGTAGCATTTACTTGTATAACAAGACCTGCCATGAAATCTCAGGCGATATGCCACGGCAAAGCCCGGTGTTTGGCGTGCGGATCAAGTCGATCGCGTACTAAGTGACACCACCGCGTTGCTTACAGTCCCCATTGGCAACAATATCATCCCAGTGCCTGGACATAATTCTAAAATGCACATAAAACTGCTTTTACAATCCTAGAAACTGGATCTAGCAGCCCACCAACCTCGGCAATATCACTAGTCCACTGCTATAAAAGGCATGGTTCATTCTTAGTCTCCAAACAGAATCCCTCACCAACAGCACCAACAGCCAGCTACCCGTGATACAGCCTCTATCCTCTATCCTCTATCCTCTATCCTCTATCCTCTATCCTTCCCGCGTTTACTATCCAACTCATCTATCCGCCAGCAATGAAATTCCTTGCTCCAGCCCTTCTCCTCGCTATTGTTGCTAATGCTGCACCTGCTGCTCAGTCGGTGACTACTACATATTCTGAGACCGCCAGCACCGCCAAGTACCGCCAGATCGAGCGGACCACTGAAAGCTGCCTCAAGAGCCTGTTTGGATAGACTAGTCCTGAATGACAAGTGCGCCGCTCGTTATCCTGTCTTAATTTCATTCTTTTTTAATTTCGCTACTCCTCTAATATACTCTATAGCACATCACACCACATATCCTCTCAATAGAGATATTGGCACTCGGTCTGCCTTGCTGCCAAAGGAGCTTTTCAGAATGTGTCAACAAACTTTCCCATGGGTTATACGCATTTAGAGCTGCTCTTATGTGTTGGGACTCGCCATCCGAAATACCCGACATCCATATAAATTACATCTTATACTCTCCGGTCTATCTCCATCCGGGCATGGAGAGCACCATCTGCAATGATTTTCTGTTTTTTCAGGACATTTAGACAAGCCAGTGTTGTAGATTTGCGGTATTTCTCCGATATTGCTAACTCACACGATGTAATAATTGTTCGAATGGTTTAATCCACCAGCCTGGGTATTTGCTTGCACGCGTATCTGGGGTATTCATGTTTCTGTGGAGATTCTCAGACAGCAAGACTGAGAACACAGCCTGCCTCCTGTTTTCATAATGCCTATTTCTCCAGGTCAATATCCTCCGTACTTTAGGTAAAACAATGTAGGTATGGATGTGGTTCTTCTATTGCGTGGAGTACAGACATATCAAGCTTATCATGAGGTCCGTCAAACACACTGAATTTGAGACAGTTCTGATATATATCAACTGGTCTGACTCAAATCCCGTGAATAAGGCTTGCGCATACTTGCCCACTCTACACTAGTCTACCTAATCTCATAGTCGCCTGCATTCTCTTGCACCACTGACCATATCATTCTCTATTTTACTATTTATGAGCGTTTCTTTATCAACTCGATCTTTATACGCCTCTAATTGATACCTGCTACAACTTGGTATAATACTGTCCCTTTCCATACCTCGCATACATACCCTTTAATGAAAGTTGGATCTTTGGTTACCCTGGTGGCTATGCTGGCGTCTGGGTACGCTGACCTGCCGCCCAACTGGCCCAATGATATAGATCGGGTGCCTGTCTCTTGGGCACGAAATGGCTGGTCCACACAGGATCACACAGGCGCCCGTCCAATCCAGGCACATTATCCACAGGTTGCCCGGGGCAAGGTATTGGCCGTTTCTGAGGCTGAATACGAAGGGCAGGCACCACAGGGAGGTGTTGGCAGCGCGCTTGGCCAGAAATACAATGCACCTGACGGCATTTCAGACGACATCATGTCCATTAACACATCCGAGTACATCGAGTATACCGAGACAACAACAGAGACCGAAGACGATTCGCTCCTGGAGACGTATACCACGACTGAGTATGTTATCATTTCATCCTGTTGTGGATCCTGTTGTGGGTCCTATTGTTCGTGCGGCACGGCACCGAGCGCAGCGTACAATGCCGACGCTGTTTGCGCATCATCGACAGCTGTGCCGGCATGTACAACATCGTGGTGTGCTATGTCCACGTCATATGTGGTATCTCAGGCACCACCTCCTCCTATTGTCACTCACACTTCGTACTGCGCAACAAACGAGCCGTTCCTTCCGTATATCACCATCACGACATCAGTGTACCCTGCTACTGTTTCCCACACAAGTGAAGCAGCTGCTTACTCAACTAGCGCCCCGTATGCTAACACGGTGACAAAAACAGTGACCTCATCTGTTACTGGCGCCGGCTACTCTTCGTACTCGTCGAGCAAAGGGACGAGCTATTCCACCAGCCAAACAAGCGACCACCCATATGAACATGGTACTGGCTCGCACTCGACGAGCTCTTCCGGAAATGGGCCATATCCCGCTGGGCCCTATGGTCCCGGTTCTGGTCCCGGTCTCAGTCCTAGTCCCAGTCCCAGTCCTGGTCCTGGGCCTGTTCCTACTCCTGGTCCTGGACCTGTTCCTGTTCCTGGTCCTGGTCCTGGGTCTGTTCCGGTTCCTGTTCCGGTTCCTGTTCCGGTTTCTGGTCCATACAGTTCTGGCCCCGGTATTGGTCCCTATCCAGTTCCTCCCTACGGCCCTGACTCTGTTCCTTATCCAGCTGCTCCCTACAGCCCTAGTGGTGGGCCATACCCAACGGTACCATACCATGGTCCGTACGATAATGCGCCATACGGCCCATATAATCCCCTGTACGGAGGATCAAACAGCAGCCCGTACGGACCTCCCTACGGACCTCCCTATGGCGCACCGCCATATAGTCCTCCCTACGGCGCACCACCATACAGCCCTCCATATGGAGAGCCTTATAGCACGCCGTATGGGCCGCCGTATGGTATAGGGCCAGATGCTGGTGACAGCGGTGGATATCCAGCCGGTGGTGCTGGTGGATATCCAGTCGGTGATGCTGGTGGATACCCGGCAGGTGGTACTGGTGGATATCCGGCAGGTGGTACTGGTGGTGGATCTGAGAGGGGTAGTTCCAACCCGCCTCCATATGGCAGTGGACCCAGTGACGGAACCGGCAACGTGCCACGTATATCGACTTCTCCTTTTAGCAGTGGCAGCGCACAAAGCAGCTCTACAGCCGCGTCATCTGAAAACAGCTCTGATGAGTCTGGTATTTCAAGCGCACCTTACCCGACCAGGTCGATCTACACCACCCGCTCCATGGGCACCAGCGGTGTCTATTCTAACCACCCTTCGTCTAATGGTGACACTGGAGGTGATACCACGTACAACTTCATCACCAGCTACATTATCAACGAGACCACCGCCCCACCGCTAATCGTGTCGGTTGATGATCCTGAACCAGCCTATTCCAGCAAGGACACGTACTCGGGCACACCCGCTCCTACACGCACATCCTCGCACGCCTCTAAACCTGCGTCCATATCTACACCCTATTCCACGCCTGCTACCCCCGCATCGACCCCATATGCTGTGCCCGGTGCCTCTCCTGAGGCTGGTCCAACTGCGACACTCGCAGACAATGACCACGACAATGACTACGACAATGACTACGACAATGACTACGACAATGACGATGACGAGGGGCTCCATGAGCGGGTCACGCAAAAGAAGGTGATCAAGAAGATAGTGCGGAAAGCAGCTCTCGCCACCACCACACGCAAGCCTGCCATGAAGGTAGAGGATCAGAAGGCTGCAATTATGTCCCGGTTCCAGTCGATCGAGCTCGCCAAGGCCAAAGCGCTGGGCAAGGCCAAAGCGCAGAGTAAGTCCAAAGCGTACCCAGCTTCCAAGGCGCCTGCCAGAGCCATTCTGCAAGAAAAGCCGAAGCCGCTGAGCAACAAGTTCCAGCGGAGTCGCCCGGTGCGGGTGGGCAAGGCGAATTACGTGAAGGTTGGTGACCCTGAGGCCATTGAGAGGGCGGACAAGATAGAACTCGTCGATACCAAGCTAAAGCCAGACTTTGTGATGGACATTGGGTACAAACTCAAGCGCCCAAGCAGTAGTACTCGGGATGTTGACGCTTGAACGTGAAGGGGCACTGTCTTGCACTTGTCGTTGTGACCACTTGTTCATTTTCATTTTTCAGACATTCACGTTCAATTACTTTCTCAAATCGACAGCACATATATCTCCTTGGCGACTTCGCCTTGGCTGGTTTGCAAAATAAACGCAGCTTTTTGTTAGCTTCGGAAACTACAAATGACAATGAATAGTTCCAGGCTACCCAAAATTTTTCCGTGCAATCCGGATGCTGCTGCGACCGGTGAAATACCACGGCCCGGGCCAACAATAATACTGCTTTATCATGTCCGTTACTCACCATCCAGTTCGCATCCTCTACCGGTACCAGAAACATAGCTTGAAAAATGAGCACGCTAGTTCCTCCTTCATTTGACAACAAAGCCACCACCCCTTCTCCCAGCGTAACTAGCACGCTGCACATTCTACAAGGCACACTGGATAAGAAGCGCGGCATCAGCAAGCCCGAAGACGACCTGTGGCCCGAGGGATACGTCTGGGATATAGAGGATCCCGTTGAGCGGCGGTTCTGTGTTCAGTGGCTGACGCACTCGATTGAATGGGCCACAAAGCGCAGCATCCTGGTCGGCGACTCGGACGACTGGACATGGATAATGGACACAGCAGCCATGCAGCTCGCGGAGCTCTGTGGGAAGGGCGCATCAGGGAAGGTGAAGCGCAGTGTGAAAGTGTGGGGACCGAATGCAGAGGAGCTACCCGGGGTCATTATCAACGAGCCGAGCTTCGTCGAAGCAGACGTGGGGTGCCAGACGTGGGGCTCTGCTACACTGATGGCGCGGAGAATCTCCCGGCACGACATCCCCGTCAGGCAGTTCTCAAGCTGCCTGGAGCTAGGCAGTGGTACGGGACTGGCGGGCATGGTGCTTGCCCGTGAGCTGCAGCATGTGGGCGGGGTGGTGGTCATGACTGACTACCTGGCGTCGCTGTTGGATGTGCTGACAGCGAGCAGCAGAGACAACAGCGTTGACGACGGCACGGCACAGATCCGGCACCTTGACTGGTTTGAAGTGGCTCAGCGGATGCAGAATGCCGAGGCAGGCGTGGCGGCTCCTAAAGCGAACTATAGTGATGTGACAGCACAGCGCGAAGCCACTGCGGGAGCACGCCAGCTCGATGTGGCAGGCATGCAGCACGGATTCAGTCTGGTGGTTGCCGCCGATGTGCTGTACGAGCTGGAGCACGCGAAGGTAATACCAATTCTTGCCGACTATTTTTTGGCAACATCTGGCAAAGTGACGCCCCGGTTTGTCGTCACCACGCCGCTGCGTGCGACACACAAAAAGGAGGTTAGCGCGTTCGAGGCCGAGATGGCCAAGATCGGGAGCCTGAGGCTGGTAGCGAGGGACGATACGACGCTGGCTGACGATTTGTCTGGCTGGGTGGAAAGGGTTGGTGCGGCCGAGACAGAGGCGATTACGCAGACGCTGACCGCCGATGCGAACGATACATGGAGGTACCGCACGTATATTTTTGAGCGCTGTTAGTAGCAAATAAACACCTTTGACTCTGGGTATTCATCCGCAGGCGAACAATGCCGCAGCAAGTATTTCTGTGGCAGACTAGAGCGTTTGTTGTCGGTGAGGCGGTCCTGAACCCCCGGCCAGGCTGGACAGGGGGATCAACAGAGCCGGTCTTTTTCCGGTATGCGGTGGCTGCGAAGCTTCTGCGAGCATGTTTATTTATGCTCTCCTTCTCCCAGCCCTCCCTCTTTTCTCTCACTCCAAACCCCTCTTCGCTATTTCCCCCATTTCCCGCCTCCTTTTCTGCAATTACGCAAGGTTGGCTCTTTTGCTAATTGGTCGGCTCAAATTCACAGCGGGCATGGCAGTAGTTACGCGCAGCCAAACTAGTCGGGTTGGCAAGCTTGTGGACGGAATCGTCCAGCGGCAAAACACTGAGCATGCGCCGGAGCCAACGCCTACTGTCTTTACTCGCAGGCGTGCGATCATCGCCAAACGCAAAATCAAAGATGGTAAGACACGGGGATATCGCAGGGCTGGGGGAGAGATGTGGCAAATGCCCATCCCCTCTCCCTCGATTATCGCAATAGAGTTCTCCATTGCTCTCTCGATGCAGATGCTGCCAGTCGTGGGAAGGGAGGGATGTTGATTCTGTGTTGTGGGGATGGGGATGGGCTGGGTCTCCTGGATCTCAAGGTGACGGAGACCGCTTTAATCGGCTGGGACCTGATGCTTTGCCTGAAATCAGCTATGCAGATACTGTGAAACTGGCTTCTTTGGCAGAGAAAAAACTTTTTTTTGGGTGTGCGTCTCTTCATTCGCCACTGCAGCTTTCTCACAACGATTACGATCCGCCCATGCATGCCGTGCTTATCACGCGGTGCGCTCAGCTGGCCGAGGGAGCGCCATGCAAAGTAGCTTTACTGCTCTCCTTCTCGCTTGTTTGCTGCTCTTCAGTTGTATTTCTGCGCATTCGCCGTCCCCCACTTTTGTGCTTTATCCAAACATTCTGCCATCCCCTCAGTTTAATCGCTATCCCCACGCGCGCTCGCTGCATTGTGCGGGCCTCAGCAACCTTGTTTACTGGTGGGTGGAACGGCCAAACAGAAAAAGTTCAGAAAAGTACCACAGCTGCACCAAGCTGCTCGAGTGCGAACCGGGTCTTCTTTTTCAGTCCATTTCCATTTTCCTTTCTACACAACACTCGCAAAATTCGCGCAGTTCCTGCCCCTCTCGTTCAAATGCGCCTACTGAGCTCACTCAAGCAGCAAATGGCGGGCTCATCCTCACAAGGGCACTCGAAGCAGCAGAGTGAGAGGCGGCGAAACTTCCCGTCCATCAGGGTGGTGACTAACAGCCCGCCAAAGGCCACCAAAGTGCAGACTATCCGGCATGATGATGACTACCTGGAGACACGCGTGGCCATGGGGCCAGTCGGTACTGCACTGGAAGAGTCGCTCGAAGCACACAGGGAGGCGGGGGTATATGCGCGGACAATAACCAGCCCAAAATATGAGGCCACCGCCCCCTCCCCGCTGTCGCCGCGGCCGTCGACACGCAAATGCGCAGTGAATCGGCGGCGAGCAGGCACAATTGGGTCAATCGACAGCGGGTCATATCTGCCATCGCCAACGAGCACTGCTGCAAACTCCATATCCAGCGCAGTTGGGCTGCTCAATACTGCCGACATGCCAGATACTGTCTACCAACAATTGCACTCACATCCACTCACTCCCATCTCGCCAAATCCCCAGCATCTGCAATCGTTTCCCCTCGCCCAACTACCACCCGCCTGCGTCGTGCTGGCACGCTGACAGGCATGCATGGCGCTGCCGGATGTATCCCTGACCGCCTGCGGTCGTTTTCTCATGACACAACAGCCCCTCCTCCCTCAACACCCCTACCGGGCTCGCCACAGTCAACAATATCCCACTCAGCTGCCTGCTCTGTAGTTTCTGTATCTCCCACTGTTACCCGTAGCCCACCGATCAAGAGCGAAGCCCGGCCACCGAGTTCGAAGCGCACGCACAGCCAGGACTCAGATAACAACGCGCTGCGCGGCGCACCGCCTCGTGACGACTGGGACATTGTAGTGGATCGGATCCGCGAATACCGCGCAGCGCATGAGGCGCCCGTGGATACAGTCGGATGCGAGGCGCTGACCGAGGAGGAGAAGGACCCGAAGCTGCGGCGGTTCCGGTCACTGGTATCGCTGATGCTGTCGGCGCAGACAAAAGACGAGATCACTGCAGAAGCCGTGCGCAACCTCAGCCAGCGGCTGCCGGCGGACTGTCGCCCAAGTCTCTGAGCAGCGCGCCGATCGATCTAGTGCATGAGTGCGTGCGGCGCGTTGGATTCTGGCAGCGCAAATCCAACTATATCAAAGAGGCAGCACGCACGTGCCTGGAACAGTACAACGGCGACATTCCGCGCACTGTACCACAGCTGCTGTCGCTGCCGGGCGTCGGCCCGAAGATGGCGTACCTGACGATGCACGCAGCATGGCACGACAACCAGGGTATCGGCGTCGATACGCACGTCGAGCGCATTCTCGCACCGGCTCGGCTGGGTCAGCGCAGCCGCCAAGACTCCCGAGGCCACACGCCATGCACTCGAGTCGTGGCTCCCCAAGTCGCTGTGGCGCGAGATCAACCCGATGCTGGTTGGGTTTGGCCAGACAGTGTGCCGTGCTGTGGGCCCAAAGTGCGGCGAATGCCCAGTGGCCAACTTTTGCCCCAGCGCAACGATCAAGAAGGCCACAAAAGCTCCAGTGCGCAGATCCCGCAATCCCGCAATCGTCGAGTTCCCAGCAGAGGCAGGGGACGACGAGGCGTGCAATTACAGCGTGCATTCGGTAGACAGTCATCTGGAGAGCGTGGATGTGGAGGACCTGGCCAGCATCCTGAGTGGTGCCGAGCATGCCGTGAGGTCGCGCAAGCTCAGTGCCAGCACACGCACGCGCCAGCCCCTGCCCCCACCCAAGACAGCGTTCCCGCAGATGCCCAACTCACCCGCCTACCAGATTCCCCCACCCCAACCCCTTCCACTGCCCACTGCTGTTACGGACGACGACGAAAAGCCTCTGCGCAGCCTGCGTCGCCGCCGTCCGCCGCCTGTGCATGGGCTGCCTGCATTGCCCGACACGGATGAAGCCCCACTTGTGGTGAAACGTGAGCAGGTTAATTCATGGGACGCTGAATCTGAATCGGAGCCAGAGACCGAGCCGAGGGAATCGCCTGGGTCAAGGACGACTACTCCACCAGCGTCCCAGTATTTCATGCGGTCGCGGTCAAATGCCGCCAGCGAGGAGGTGCGCCCTGAGGCCAAGACCGATGCTGTTGTGATTGCTCGGCCAAGGCCCGCAATGCAAAGCTGTACTCGAGGAGGCTGAGCAAATCCGACATGCAGTGGGCACTTGGTGAGGATTGGGACCCAGACAATGACTCGTCGCTGTCGGATCTAAGTGATCTCGATTTCGAGCCTGACGTCGAAGCCCCTGTGTCTGGGTGATATCCCTCCTATATTGTGAGCCACGTGCATTATTCTTACCAATCCCCTCCCCTTTGTGTAAAACTTTTTTGTAGTTTTTTTTGGAGAATAGAAACCTTGTCTTGTGTACATTTGCTCTAGAGCTGTACATAATTACACACCACATACGCTGGTGTGAGCCTAATTTGGGCGTGGGCATGTCTGATAGAACCGCTAGCAACAGTTGCGATAGCCCTAAACCGTGTCACCAAGACCAAGACTATGTGGTGGCCCAGGACTCTGACTGCCATCACTTTTTTCTGGGATTGGCGAGCGCCGAGCGACGCCTGCAACATCTGGCAGGCCAAATAGGTATAAAAGACCAGTAGGCTGCCCGTTCCTTTCGTTGTTTGGTATTCATCATCTTCAGCATCCAGAAATTCGCATGGCACATTCAGCTCACAACTTTCTTGGACCGCTCCAATGATAAGAGACATCCACTTTTCTTCCACCACCATCATCGTTGGTGCTGCTGCCGCTCTAGCCGTCGATGTCTACACAACCAGTGCGCCCTATGAGACCTACTGGCCTACTCCTGAGTACTTGTCTGCCCCATACTCCAAGGTTTACGGCGAAAAAGTCTAAGCATTTCTAGGGCACCTATCATACCAAGGGTCATGATAGCAAAAAGTGCGACTGGTCGAAGCACGAAAACCAAGTACATCACCAAGTGGGACGGCGGCAGGCGCCTCACCGACTACGACCATGTCAGCTATGCTTCTGTGAGTACCGACGGAGCCAACGATGCCTACACTGATTCTAGCGGCACCTACATTGCTTCTAGCGGGAACAGCAGCGTCTGCAATGCGTGCCATGCTTGCTGAACCCCTCCCTTTAACGGACTACCCCCTCCGGTGTTCCTCCTATTTTGTAAAACAAGCCGACTCTTGTCAACCACCTTTTTTATGGTATCTAATTTTGATGAACAAACTATTTTCATGACCACCAGCTCGTAGCAAATATGTCTGTGCATGTTGCTTGCACCCCTCACAATCAGATCAATTAAAGAAATGGACCATTGGCGAAACAGCATACTTGGTCCAAATATGCAAAATGAGAGGTAATTTATTCAAACAGATCCTTTTTGAACCAAAGCTGTTGCACACAATACTACATATGTTTATTTTCAAGAGGTGTTTGGCAGAAGACAAGAGCAAGGTATCTACACTGGCACTTTCGCTGCAAGGGTATTTCAGGGACCATGCCAGACCGGAGATACGAGCATTCAAATACAGTCAATGAGGCGTTATGACTCGGGCAGGCTTCAAAAAAAAGATCTGCCAGTATGTGCGGCGGCCTGTACATCCGGACATGCGTGCACTATATCGAAATGGACCGTTCTATTTACAGTAGCGGTCATATCCTAACGGACCGGGGTATTTTGCTGGCCAAGGTTCCGTAATCATTGTCCTGGTTCAAGCCCATTGTCAATATGATCGCACCAACAATGGCTAGTCGACGGTCTTTTGCGTCCAGTTCCATTTTCAGTAAAATTTGAACCCGGTCTCTTTATACTACCAAGCAAGGAACAGGTTTCTCTTTGCCAGGTGTCTATGGCCAGCTTCATGCAGCTACATAGGCGGCACCTGTGTAGACTGGTTAGTTTGATGGTTTCTATATAAAGTCCAGGTAAGCTGCCTACCTATCTGCCCACCTCACCATTCCACACCACATCCCACCAAACAACCAATCTCTCAGCCACTCTACCCCTTCCCTCATAGCCCCCTCTTCAATTACTAGCCATCTTCAGCGAGCACCCACTTCTTGCGACCTACAATGCGTCTTGTTGCTACGATCTCTCTTCTCTCTGCAATTGCTGCTGCGTCAAACTACCAAGCCAACCCGGCTCCCTCCCCTGCATACTCGAACCAACCCGCATACCCCGTTTATTCTGGCGGCCATGTGATTCCGACATACGTCCACGATGGTGGCTACCATACTGGTAATGGTGGTGACCATCATGATAGTGACAAGTATAAATCCAAGGGTGGCAACGGTGATTACCATGCTAGCAACGACAATGACAAGTATAAGACCAGCGGCGTAATGGCGGCTATCATGCTGATCACGATGGCAACAAGTATAAGGCCGACCACGATGATAAGTACAAGGCTGTCCATGATAGTGACAAGTACAAGACCAACGGTGGTAACCGTGACTATCATGCATGCCGATAACGACAGTGACAAGTACAAGGCCGACCACGATGGCGGCAAGTACAAGGCTGATCACGATGGCGGCAAGTACAAGGCTGATCACGATGGCGACAAGTACAAGGCCGACCACGATGGCGACAAGTACAAGGCCAACGGTGGTAACCGTGACTATCATGCCGATAACGACAGTGACAAGTACAAGGCTGACCACGATGGCGGCAAGTACAAGGCTGATCACGATGGCGACAAGTACAAGGCCGACCACGATGGCGACAA